AAGACGGGCTTTCAGAGCACTGTTCAGTGTCCAGGTCTCACACCCGTAGAGTAAGACCGGGATCACCAGTGCTCTGAAGAGCCTGATCTTAGTTCTCCTAGTCAAACACCGACAACGCCAAATACTCCTATTGAGTGAGTCCATAACGCCGTAGGCCAGTCCGAGTCGTCGAGTGACTTCCCGGTCGGAACCTCCGTTGCTCTGCACTACACTACCAAGATAAGTGAAGCTATCCAAGACCTCAATGTTCTCGGCCACAGGCATGCACAGACTGAGCATCGACATCCAAAAAGTCCCCAAATTCCTGAACCTTGGTCTTGGTCCAGTTGACCCGCGAGTCCCAATGGCTTTGCCTCCTCATGCAGCGCCTCGAGAGCTACTTCCAGGACCTCTAATGTCTCCGCTAGAATCACTGCATCATCGGCAAAGTCAAGGTCTATGACCTTGAAATTACCAATTGATGCCCCACAGGAACTACGGTTCACGGTACGGCAAAGTATCCAGTCCATACAAGTGTTGAAAAGGGTTGGGGCCAGGACACATCCCTGTCTCACCCCGGCAGACACCGGGAAGAAGGCAGAGATGCCCTCCCCACACTTGACAGCACTCTCAGTGTCTGTATACAGGCCAGACAGCAAACCAATAATTCCAGGGGGGATCCCACGGAGACCCAGTAGGCTCCAGAGACTCTCCCGGTGCACTGAGTCGAAAGCCTTCTTGAGATCAACATAAGCTGCAAGCATACCCTGTTGAAACTCAAGTCGGCGTTCCACAAGGACACGAAGTGCTAAGACACGGTCTATAGTTGACTTCTTGGGTGTAAAACCAGACTGTTCAGGTCTCTGTGCTCATAATAGGTGGTCGCGCACTCGTGCCAGAAGCAGATGAGCGAGGACCTTGCCTGGTACGCTGAGCAATGTAATACCTCTGTAGTTGCCACAGTCCTTTTGGTCCCCTTTCCCCTTTCCAGATAGGGATGACCAAGCCCCTTTTCCAGTCAGGGGGAATGGTACCAGCCTCCCAAACGGCAGACAGGACTGCATGCAAACCACAGATCATGGCTTCTCCACCCGCCTTCAACAACTCTGCAGCAATCCCACAGACACCAGCAGCCTTTCCACTTTTCAGCTTAGACACTGCCCTTCTCACTTCTTCGATGGAAGGTGGTGCCTCACTGATTGGTGGATCAGCCACTAGTGGCTGTGTGCCAGCCACCAGGCTCTGACACAATGCGACCATCCTCTGCTCTCACTGAGCCTGATTGAGAGATGGACTTTGATCAGAGTTCCCTCAGGGCTCGGAAAGCAAGTCGAAGGTCATTTTGGGCAAAATGACCTTCCAACTCTTCCACGATGCCCCTAACGTACCTCTTTTGGTCCACTCTCAAAGAGGCCCTAGCAGAGTGAGACAGCTCCCTGTGCAAGACATGGTTCCCATCCAGTCTGGCAGCACGACTCATCTCTATAGTGTTCAGTGTCTCGTCTGAGACAACACACCTCCTTCGCCGAGGTCGGACACCAAGGCACTCCTCGGCAGCTGACAGAGTTCCTCGCTTAAAGGTATCCCACAGTTCAGCAGGGTCCTGTAGAGTACAAAGCACTTCAAGCCGATTTGAGACTGCCACTGCATACTCCTGAGCCACCTCCTCACTCTTGAGCCTCTCGAGATGGAACACCTGCTGGTGAGATCTCGGGATGCGTCTAGATCTGAGGCAGAGCCTTAGTGTTGCGACAACAAGTCTGTGGTCGGTAGCAAAGAACTCAGCACTCCTAAAAACTCTACAGTTCTGAAGGATCTTCCAACGAGTATCCACGAGAATATGGTCGATCTCTTTAGCTACAACGCCAGTATTGGAGTACCAAGTCCAGCGGTGTAGATCTCGTCTCTGGTACCATGAGCCCGCAATCCTCAGTCTCCTAGATCTTGCGAAAGTCTAAGAGGTATGAGCTATTGATGTTCCTAGTACCAGAGCCATAGGGACCGATGCATAGCTCGTATCCTTCCCTGTCAGTGCCAGTGACTGCATTGAAGTCCCCCAAGACCATGAGGGTGTCCCCCCGGGGACATTGATCCACTATAGAGTCAAGTTTGGTATAGAACATCTCTTTCTCTTCAAGCCCACTCCCTCAGTAGGAGCGTAAACTGCAATTAGAGATATGAAGCCCAAAGTGTGCTTCATTCTCACAAGCAGGAATACGCTCGTCAACAGGGGTAACCTTCTTCACTGAGGAACGGAAGCGGTCAGAGACAGCCACCGCGCACCATTGCTACAGCCAGACCAGTGGTAGGTATAACCCCCACTACTGGTCTCACCACAACCAGGCCGTCGCACCTCAGAGAGAGCAGCGATGGCAATCCCCAGCCTCCCCAGCTCCCCCGACAACAAAGGCAGTCGATCATCCTCCGAGAAACTGAGGATGTTCCAGGCCGCTACACGGCACGCTCGCCGCAGATTGACCCCATTTGTGGGGCTCCGGCCGGGCAACGCCTCGGCACAACCATATATATATATGAATATATATATATATACATATATATATTCATATATATATATATATATATATATATAAATATATACATATATACGTTCATATATATATTTACATGCACACACTCATATATACATATATATATATGTACATGTGTATACATATGTAAATTATCATGTATATGTAGTACATATATATGTATATAAACACGCACGCACATTATATATATAATATATATATATATATATATATATATATATATATATGTATATATATATATATGAAATGCATATACATAAAGGTGATAATGTATTTATGTAACACATATGTATAAATGTACATATACATGTATGTATAAATATATATGTGTGTGTTTGTGTAGGCATAAATCCACACCAAAACCATATCTCAAACTGTCAGTCTCACCTATAACACTGCAGGGAATGTCTGAAGGCACACACAGATTCGGCATTTGCGTGCACCTTTTCGTCCCGGCAGGCACGCCACATTGCTGCCTTGGCCCAGCCCGGGGATGGAGCCTCCAGCGCCTCCCTCTGTCACGAAGGGCTTGCTCTGTGTGGATGGAAAGAAGGGGGAGGTGATGCTGTTAACGGTATGGATCAATAGTGAAATCATTGTGAGGTGGAGTTTCGTTTTCAACAGAGTATAATTTTGTCTTCAACATTCGTTAGTTGAAATGATGTAATTACTAAAGCGAACATTTACCAAAGTCTTTGAATACTTACATGGCAGCCTTTATTATCTGCATTCGCTCTACAAAAGGCGTTGAGAAATGTCTGAACATCCGTCTGGCTATGCACGTACGCAGCGTCTGGAAAAGGCAGATTTTAAGGCTACTGGCTGGAGATAGAGAGGGGGTGGGGATGGGGGGGGAGATGAATAGCGAGAAAGGAGATAGAATGAGGAGTCGGGGGATAAAAAGGCGAGAGGAGATTGGTTGGAGATAGAGAGAGAGAGAGAAAAATGAAAATAGGACGGATGTGTAAAGATAAGTTGGCAGGTAAAATAAGTAAGAATAAAGAAGCCTAAAGAGGCGAGGGGAAATTAATTGGAGAGAATGAGAGAGATAGAGAGAGGGGAGAGTGAGGATGACAGAAAGAGAGAGAGAGAGAGATGAAAACAGGACGGATATGAAGAGATAAGTTGGCAGGCAAATTAAGTAACAAATAAAGAGGCCTGATTCTTAAACCAGTGACGATGTTCTTCTTCTTATAGGCCCGTGCACCCGGCTTCGTGAAGGTCACTGACGGCTGCAGTGACGGAGTAGCTCCGTTTATGGATATTTCATCCACATTTTTTTCGTCTTCATAATCAGAGCAAAGTGTTGTCTAATGTCGAGTAAGCAAACATTATGCAGCAATGTAACTAAAATAATGCACTTTTAAAAGCAAGAAGAAGTAGTTTTTTACTAATAACTAAGATACATACATACATATATATATATATATATATATATATATATATATATATATATATATATTAATATGTATCAATATATATTCATATATATATATATATATGTATACATATATATATATATATATATATATATATATATATATATATATATATAACATACACATATAAGTGTGTATGTATGTCTATATGTGTGAGTACACACAGACATATGTACATTTATTCATGCGTGTGTAAATATCTTACAAATGTGTATATATTCACACACACACGTATGTGTGTATATATATTATGCATACATATATCTATATATACATATGTATATACATATACACACATATAAATATATGTGCATATATATATGAATATATATATATACATATATCTATGAATACATATATGTATAAATATAAACATATATATATGAATATATAGATATGAATTTGCAAAAATGTATATATATATAAATTCATATAAATATATATAAACATATATATGAATATATGTATACATATACTGATCTATACATTCATATAAATATTTACATGCACACATACACATACACACACACACACACACACACACACACACACACACACACATATATATATATATATATATAAATATATATATGTATATATATATATATATATATATATATATATATATATATATACATATATACATGTATATGTATATGAAAATTATCACATATATGTAGAACATATATATGTATATAAACACATATGCATTTATAAATATATATATATATATATATATATATATGTGTGTGTGTGTGTGTGTGTGTGTGTGTGTGTGTGTGTGTGTGTGAAATACATATACATAACATGATAATGTATATATATAACACATATATATATAAATGTACGTATACATGTATGTATACACATATGCATGTGTGTTTGTGTAGGCATAAATCCACACCAAAACCATATTTCAAACTGTCACAGTCTCACCTATGGCACTGCAGGGGATGTCTGAAGGCACACACAGATTCGGCATTTGCGTGCACCTTTTCGTCCCCGGCAGGCACGCCACATTGCTGCCTTGGTCCAGCCCGGGGATAGAGCCTCCAGCGCCTCCCTCTGTCACGAGGGGCTTGCTCTGTGTGGATGGAAAGAGGGAGGCTGATGCAGTTAACAGTATGGATCAATAATTAAATCAGTTTGAGGTGGAGTTTCGTTTTGAACAGAGTATAATTTTGTCTTCAACATTCGTTAGTTGAAAAAGTGGCGATATGAAATTTCCGGAAAATACACTCATACGATAGATCAAACGATTATTCATTCATTCATTTTTGTCAGATTTGTTAGTTAGGAAACATGCGATTTCGTTCGCTCTTGCATACAAAAACTTGATGGAAGGAACCTAACCCTGGTCTACCCTTTCCTACCTTACTATACTTTACCTTACCTTACCATACCTTATCTTATCTTTTCGTTTCCCTTCCCCTCCTTTATCTTAATTTACATCATCTTACCATACCTTGCCTTGCTTTACCACACCTTACATTAACTTACTTTAATTTAATCTATGTTAATATACCAGTTCAAAAGTCAAATCTTTGAAACGGTGTAATTACAGAAGTGAACATTTACTAAAGTCTTTGAATACTCACATGGCAGACCATATTATCTGCATTCGCATTACAAAAGGCGTTGAAAAAATGTCTGAACATCCGTCTGGCTATGCACGTACTCAGCGTCTGGAAAAAAAAAAAAACAAAAAAAAAAACATTGCGGGACGACAATGAATAGATTTTAAGGCTACTGGCTGGAGATGGAGAGGGGGTGGGGGTGGGGGGAGATGGAGAGCGAAAAAGGAGATAGAATAAGGAGTCGGGGGATAAAGAGGCAAGAGGAGATTGGTTGGAGAGAGAGAGAGAGAGAGATGAAAACAGGACGGATGTAAAGAGATAAGTTGGCAGGTAAATTAAGTAACAAATAAAGAAGCCTCATGTCAAATTCTTAAATGAGTAACGGTCTTCCCATCCTTGTAATACGGGAATATTATATACACACAATATATATATATATATATATATATATATATATATATATATATATATATATATATATATATATATATGTATATGTATATATATATTCATATATTACGAAACATGTATATGTATGTATATGTATATATATATATATATATATATATATATATATATATATATATATATATGTATAGATGTGTATATGTATATATGTATGTATGTATGTGTATATGTATATATGTATGTATGTATGTATGTATATATATATACATATATATATATATATATATATATGTATATATATATATATATATATATATATATATATATATATATATTGTATAACAGTTAGTATTACTAAGACAGTAAAAACAGGGTATGAAAATATTTTGGGATCTTCACGCCAAGTACGTCAGACAATTTTCCTATGTGCTCCATTTCATTTAAAAACAAAAACTAAGCTCATGGGGAATGGGTCGGACAGTTAACATACACCCCTACAAATACATACTGTGTAAGGCAAGTAGCACGAACAGAGCCTTCCTCAGCACGTCCATATTCAGAGCAGCCTGCGATAGGGTTTGTATGCTTCAGATCCTTGAAGGACACTGGTCCACAAGCTTTACCTGAGGCACATTGCCTTCCTCTGCACGCGTTGCCGACGAGGGAATTATCAGCTAAAATTCTGTACTTCTTATTGTCAATATCATCATGCGGATCCTTCATCTTTCGGCTCAGGATTTACTGAGGTTGTTGGCAAGGGACGACGGCTGTATCTGCGGTCATTAATAAAAGATCGACTCATGGGAGAGATGTTGCTATACCGAAAAGTGTTGTCATGCGTAGGTTAATGAACTGGAACCCATTAGATCAATGTTGAGGTCTAGAAAACTAGTAGTTCTGACAATGGAGTTCTGCTTCCTGGACACGTCAGTAATTTCCATGGGAAGGTGCAACCCTCAAGGAAAAGAATAGAATTTCTTATAATTTTGTATAATGAATTATTTTCTTCTTCTTTTGCTCTTTGATTTACGATGGATTTTTTTATCATTAACTTCAATTTTTGATGTGGTGGATGGGGGGCGTGGAAGTAAGGACCAATTGTTTGGAGGTGTGTTGGGAAGATAATAACTAAACTATATTCGTAGACACAATGATCAGATTTCCTTATAAAGATTAATGAGCGACCACTGACATCTGAGGTGTTCTTAGCATCGATTCAAGATAGGATCTGAAAAGAAAATCTTCGACTATAAATAGGCTAAGCCAAGGTCTATATTTGAATAATTTTAAGTTT